GAGAGCTTTATTTCATCATTATAATAAAGGACAGTTTTATTTACTCATTATAATATAGGACAGCTTTATTTATATAATAAAGGACAGCTTTATTTCATCATTATAATATAGGACATCTTTATTACTCATTATAATATAGACAGCTTTATTTACTCATTATAATAAAGGACAGCTTTGTTTACTCATTATAATAAAGGACAGCTTTGTTTATAATCTTTATTTCATCATTATAATATAGGACAGCTTTATTTACTCATTATAATATAGGACAGCTTTACTTACTCATTATAATATAGGACAGCTTTATTTACTCATTATAATATAGGACAGCTTTATTTACAAGAAGACACTTACTCTTCCGGAACACCTGGTTTCATTCTTCTTGTATCTTTTCAGGACTATTCGTGTGATTTTATTTTCTGTTGTTCATATTTTGCACAATTTTTACTGAATTTGAGTTTGGATTATGATTAAGTTAAAATGTTGGTATTTTCGTTGTTTCTGTCAATCGGTATTTTAACAAAAAAAAACATCTTGAAAATCTAATAGGCAAATAAGTGGAAATATAATATTGTTTCTGAACAAACGAAAGACAACCACATGACTATTTTATAATGTGTACTGAAGTAATATTGATATTATTGTTGTTGTGATGTGACATGCAGAAAACGACTTTAGTCCGTAATTAGGAAACAACACGATATATTACCGTGTAAAGTTAAGGCCCAAATGTCAATGGCAAAATTAAAAGTCAAAAATCTTTCAATCTGTCCTTTCTCTACAAAAATTTTAGCAGTGAAATAATAATATTCCCAATTTTGTTTATACATGTTTCACAAGGAAAATAGACTCTGATAAAAGAGACGTAAATATTTGTTAAACATTTATCACCAATATGATAAAGGCTGTTTGTCTCTGTTCCATATTAAGAACGAACATTCTGGAGCAATTAACGATTCGACTCTTTTCTGTAATTCTGTAACACTGCAAAACCGTCAATCCATCCTGGCTGTTTGTTTATTTTCAACGAATCATTAAAAAAATGTTGTTTACCTATGTTACGCACTCATAAATCGATTTAAATCCTCGAGAACAAAGGAACACCGTAATACTGCTAAACATCGTAACCATCCTGGTTTGTTCTATTCGTTTATTTTTTATTACGTCCATAGAGAGATGACGCATCCATTTTGCAAACAGTATCTTTGGCCGGCGACAATGATGCATTGATTCTTTCAGTAATCATAAGTACTGTTTTTGTGTTATTGATATAGGACAGCGGTCGATATTTTAATTGTATGTTCCAATATTACACGGACTTTCCACACGGATAAAACGTCGGATAAAATCTCATGCAATTACCTCTCAGCTGTCATAAATAAAGAATGGTATATGACTGTAAACGTAATTAGGTTTCTATCAAATCATCTAGCTACAGAGGTATCATACTATCTAAATAATTTCTCATATTATTCGACTGCAATGTCACGGTCCAATGAATCTGTTCTCATCTTCTTATCTTGGGTATAATACTACCTGTTATATCTTAACCACATGGGCAGATACAATGTCTGTAGGGGGCGAGGCTTGTGGTAGATAAAATCGACCAATCAAATCCGTCCTTTGAAAGTGAAATTGCCTCGTTCCTATTTCGTAAATGAAAACAACAATGGCGGCTGATTTCATTCTGAGATCAAACTTGCATTGATTCCTAGACTTACGCTTTGAATTATGTATACGGATATATGAAAATGTCACCTGGCAATACTTTATTTTCACTGGATACTTGCCTTATTTCACCGTATTTCAACGTACATTCATAGTTACATAAATGAATCGTCCATCTTGATTTGTTTTTACAGAGGGCGAAAATTAGTTCAAGCAGTCTGTTGTATATGTAGAATTGATCAAGGTAATAAATTAGGGATTATTTTTGTTCTAAACAAGTAAAAAGTCAAACAGTAATTGGTCGAATATCGCCGATTCTTTTATGGCTACTAAACCACATAATGACTTCCTCCTCTATTGCACTGAAACATGTCCCTGTGGTTCACCCTCCCCTAATTACACTACTATACATGTCCCTGTGGTTCACCCTCCCCTACATGTCCCTGTGGTTCACCCTCCCCTAATTACACTGCTACATGTCTCTGTGGTTCACCCTCCCCTAATTACACTGCTACATGTCTCTGTGGTTCACCCTCCCCTAATTACACTGCTACATGTCCCTGTGGTTCACCCTCCCCTAATTACACTACTACATGTCCCTGTGGTTCACCCTCCCCTAATTACACTACTACATGTCCCTGTGGTTCACCCTCCACTACATGTCCCTGTGGTTCACCCTCCCCTAATTACACTACTACATGTCCCTGTGGTTCACCCTCCCCTAATTACACTACTACATGTCCCTGTGGTTCACCCTCCCCTACATGTCCCTGTGGTTCACCCTCCCCTAATTACACTACTATACATGTCCCTGTGATTCACCCTCCCCTACATGTCCCTGTGGTTCACCCTCCCCTACATGTCCCTGTGGTTCACCCTCCCCGAATTACACTGCTACATGTCCCTGTGGTTCACCCTTCCCTACATGTCCCTGTGGTTCACCCTCCCCTAATTACACTGCTACATGTCCCTGTGGTTCACCCTCCCCTAATTACACTGCTACATGTCCCTGTGGTTCACCCTTCCCTACATGTCCCTGTGGTTCACCCTCCCCGAATTACACTGCTACATGTCTCTGTGGTTCACCCTCCCCTAATTACACTGCTACATGTCCCTGTGGTTCACCCTCCCCTAATTACACTGCTACATGTCCCTGTGGTTCACCCTCCCCTAATTACACTACTACATGTCCCTGTGGTTCACCCTCCCCTAATTACACAGCTACATGTCCCTGTAGTTCATCCGCCCCTAATTACACTGCTACATGTCCCTGTGATTCACCCTCCCCTAATTACATTGCTACATGTCCCTGTGGTTCACCCTCCCCTAATTACACTGCTACATGTCCCTGTGGTTCACCCTCCCCTAATTACACTGCTACATGTCCCTGTGGTTCACCCTCCCCTAATTACACTGCTACATGTCCCTGTGGTTCACCCTCCCCTACATGTCCCTGTGGTTCACCCTCCCCTAATTACACTGCTACATGTCCCTGTGGTTCACCCTCCCCTACATGTCCCTGTGGTTCACCCTCCCCTAATTACACTGCTACATGTCCCTGTGGTGGTTCACCCTCCCCTAATTACACTGCTACATGTCCCTGTGGTTCACCCTCCCCTAATTACACTACTACATGTCCCTGTGGTTCACCCTCCCCTAATTACACTACTACATGTCCCTGTGGTTCACCCTCCTCTACATGTCCCTGTGGTTCACCCTCCCCTAATTACACTGCTACATGTCCCTGTGGTTCACCCTCCCCTAATTACACTGCTACATGTCCCTGTGGTTCACCCTCCTCTAATTACACTGCTACATGTCCCTGTGGTTCACCCTCCCCTAATTACACTGCTACATGTCCCTGTGGTTCACCCTCCCCTAATTACACTGCTACATGTCCCTGTGGTTCACCCTTCCCTACATGTCCCTGTGGTTCACCCTCCCCTAATTACACTGCTGCATGTCCCTGTGGTTCACCCTCCCCTAATTACACTGCTACATGTCCCTGTGGTTCACCCTCCCCTAATTACACTGCTACATGTCCCTGTGGTTCACCCTCCCCTAATTACACTGCTACATGTCCCTGTGGTTCACCCTTCCCTACATGTCCCTGTGGTTCACCCTCCCCTAATTACACTGCTACATGTCCGTGTCGTTTGTTCTCATTCTTCTAGGTCATGCTATGGGATTGCCTGGATGTTAATATTCCTTTTTTCTTCAGTCGCCTCTGAGGCGTGAACACTTTAGATCCTTAGTATCAGTGACAAGTCCATGAAGAAGGAAATAACTGTTTGGTGCTGAATATTTATCTATCTATTTATTATTTGTATTGTTTTACTCTACTGTGTCAGTTCTATATTTATCCTTGAAGGGTGATTTTCTCGTTCGTATCTTTTGTACAATTCCTTTTGTATAAGCCGCACTAATGCTTGTCCCTTATACTTGGAGGAAACGATTGCCCGTTATCAATGTTATGTGACTCGGTGGGGTGTCCTATTGGAAGCCATTGGTAGTATATTTCAGCATGGTAGTACTATAAATTTTATCGATGAATGACGTCACGCCCCCTGGCTACATTGCTATGACGACTGTTAAGTGACGGCATCGTAATAACACATCGCTGACTAAATCACTTATCAAAAGATTGACACACGACTTCCTGTAAAATGTTTGCAGATTTTCACTTGAAAGATATAAGATTGTACAAAACACTAACGAGTGAATAACATCTCCTTAAACACAGATTCATTATAATAACAGTCAAAATTCATCAACGACTGTGTAACATGACATACGTCTTTTGATTTTTATTACACAAGGAAACTAATAATTGTGGAACATTTCTAAATGTCTTATGTCAGTATTATACTCTCTTTTTTTACGAACGACACTCCTATCCCGGGGGAGTCAAACATTGGTGTTAATTTATTTTACGAAAGATAATTTCATTGTTTTTTTTCTTAAATGAATTATATACTCAGTCAATTGCATTGTATATACGTTATACTTACAGAAACAAACAAGACAAAGAAAGAAGACTCCAAGCGATTCCTGCGAATTTTAACTGTCATGGGATGATTCAAAATATAAACTTGGTGTTGGTTGCAATATGTTTATGATTAAATTTCCGGCACCGATATTACAGTCGAACTTTAAACTGTGGACAAGAAAAAGTATATGCGTTCAAAGCTGATCGTAGACAACGCATGTAAATTTCAGTGTATGTATATGTGTTTTCTAGACTTCCGTTTAATGTAACCAATCCGGTTTATATAAACCCTCCGTTTAATATAATAATTCCTGTTTATGTTATCTTTCGAATTTTATCAATTATGACAAATCGAATTGCGACAAAATTGGCATTCCGTAATTTACGATCAAAGACACAGGTTCATCATTTACAACGGCGCCAAACTGACCGTGACATTGAGGACACACGTGATAGCCAGAGAAATGCTCTGACTCAAGTTCTCCGGCCACTTTTCTTGTGCATGACTTTAAGTGGGACATTTGACCACTGGAAAATTCAAGCTGGCCATGTATCTAGCAGAACATTGATGTCAAAGTGTTTAAAATGCTACCGCATAACGATGTTAGTACTGTATATTGTAAACGCTTGTCGGTATTTCCCAACCTATCTTAGTATTTCTTCCTTCGGCCCCGATTTACTCACAAAACTGATGGTACACCTCTGGTATCTACTGTGCATTCTTAATGGATACGCTTGTTACAAAATGGTGGAAGATCCTAAGAGACTAACACTTCTACTAGAACTATTTAACGTTTATCACGACCGATTTGAAAACGAGGTAGAAAATTTTTCTGTTGTTTCTAAAGTTGGAAAGATCACATCGATTAGTATGGTGTTGGGGTGGTTTTTCAATATTGGGAATGTTGTATTTGCGGGTTACATGTTATATACGTCAAATATATTTGACAATTTCATAGCCCCGTTTACAAACACTAATCCCATGTCTAATCTAATTAAAGCTCTGTATTTAGTGATACATTTATTTCTCTCGTGTACTTGGATATTCACGTGCATTGCCACAATGATTTTTTCTTTAACTCTATATTTTCTCTTCAAACAATTCGTACGTACGATCGAAAAACTCAAATCTCAGCCAGCACAGGAAGTGTATCATCTTCTGGAGAGATACCGGAAGCAGCACAATGCTCTGTGTGATATGATAGATGTAGCAGACGACACTTTCAGTTTGTACGTGGCCTTCAGCCTGACTGTCTCCATGTTGCTCGCCTTGATGCTTCTGTACAACATCTGTTGGTACAACAGTATTCGGTCGGATCCAGGACAGCTTATCTCCCACATCTTCTGGTTGATGGCTGTCCTGACAAATCTGGGCGCTGTCGCCATATCCACGGGAATGATCAACCACTCGGTATGTTACCTTTGTTATAATTGGGAGGCTATTTACTTTCATTAATATATTTATTATGATTTATTTATATTTATCTACACAAGGCATTTGTGGGGCTACTATTTAGAGGGGATCTACCTATCGTTACTACTTTTCACGAAGGTTCGCTAATTTATGTTAATTTTTGCTATTTCTCATTATTCTTTCTCAAGACATGACACGAAGACTACTATTCCCAGAGTACTATGTGTCGCTGGTTTTCGTTATTTTTCACTTATCTTCGTTATTTTCGCTAATTTTCGGTAATCTTCGTGATTTTTCACTAATCACTTATTTTCTCTGATTCTCGTTACTTTTCACTTATCTTCGTTATTTTCCGCTATTTTTCGGTAATCTTCATGATTTTTCACCAATCTTCGTTATTTTTCGCTGATTTTTGTTCGTTATTTTTCGCTATTTTTCGGTAATCTTCATGATTTTTCACCAATCTTCGTTATTTTTCGCTGATTTTTGTTCGTTATTTTTCGCTATTTTTCGTTATTTTTCTCTGCTTTTCTCTATTTTCGATGATAGAAATCGCTAGAAGCTGCTTTGAAAATGAGGTTAATAGAAAATAAAATTTTGTTTTAGGATTTCCTCTCTTGCTTTAAGCACCTAGTAAACAACCTTAATGGTCTCAAGTCTTGATTACGATTTGTTGCTGGAGTAAGAAGAACACAATCATCGAACAACATCATCAAGACATTGTTATCTGTGTTAAATCACATTTTCCGAAAAAAAAACCTTCGTGTTTTAACTGAATAGTTCTGATTTAAGAGTTTTAACCAATAGATTAATGGATAGATATAGGGAGATAGATATCTGGAGATAGATATCGGGAGAAGATATCGGGAGATAGATATCGGGAGAAGATATCGGGAGATAGACATCTGGTGAAAGAACTATATCCTTGTCTTTATATGTATTTATGACGTTTTTAAGTACCGATATATTAAAAAAAATGTTGAAGTAAAATACTTAAAGAGAGATTGATTTCAATTGATGTTATTTTCTTTAATTTTATTTTTGGCTTTCTAAAATCTTCACAACTTGAGGTATGATTTTAAAATGTCGGTAATACCACTCATACTACTTATACCTTATGTTTAGGCACACGAACCTCTGCGCACCATCTATAATATGTCTCTGACTGGTGTCACAGCTGATTTCTCCGTACAGGTAAGCAGACAACTTTAAATCAATACGTTTTGATTTGTTTCTTTCGAATTGTATCTTCCTTGGTAAAATCAGGAGATAATAGATGCTTTCTTGTTAAATGTATTCTTAAAAACACTAAATATTCATTTTTACCTGTTTTTTAATGAAAATTATTGTTGACTAACCTGCTGGTGAGTGTTTTCTAATGAAGACTTGTCCTGTAGTGGGTTTCAATTAATTCTTAGCTGATTTTTTTATAAGCATTCAATTTTCTGTCTTTTTAAATTTCAATTTTGGATAATAATTTGCTTTTATTTTTTCTAACTGACAGGTAAATGTATTTCTACAAAGGCTGAACGGGGCTCCTATAGGGTTATCGGCATTCAAGTTAGTCATGATGGATAAACACACCTTTATACAGGTAAGTTAAAATCGGGATAAATCTTGTTTTAGTTTCTATACAGGTAAATTAAAATCGTTATAAACCCTATTTTAGTTTAATACAGGTAAGTTAAACTCAGTATAAGTCTTGTTTTAGTTTTGTGAATACTATTCAAGCAGAATTATTGCTGTGAAGTTGTCAGTCTGAAGTATTTGACCTGTATTCACTTCAAGTCTTGAAACTACTGTGTCTCGTTGTAATGAGCGATCGACGATTTAACAGTCTAGTTTACACTTTCCAAATAAAATAAGTTCAACCACGATATTTTTAATAATACACTGTTCTTATGTTTTGTGGGAATATAATGTGTTGGATATTCTGTGTAATTATTCATTTTCGTGGCGTTGTTATTTTCCCTGAATTCATAGTTACTCACTGGTTTATAATGCCCACGAAACGGTATATTGTTTATAAAATGACGAAAATTAAAACCTCTTCATTTTTGGAAATTATGAAATTAATGTATAAAGATTGGCGGGGTTATACAAAATGTATTACTGGCGGTGCTGTATAAAGATTGGCGGAGTTATATAAAATGTATTACTGGTGGGGCTGTATAAAGATTGGCGGGGTTATATAAAATGTATTACTGGCGGGGCTGTATAAAGATTGGCGGGGTTATATAAAATGTATTTTTATATTACAGATTGGCGGGGTTATATGAAATGTATTTTTATATTACAGATTGGCGGGGTTATATAAAATGTATTTTTATATTACAGATTGGCGGAGGTTTTATAAAATGTATTTTTATATTACAGATTGGCGGGGTTATATAAAATGTATTTTTATATTACAGATTGGCGGAGGTTTTATAAAATGTATTTTTATATTACAGATTGGCGGAGGTTTTATAAAATGTATTTTTATATTACAGATTGGCGGGGTTATATAAAATGTATTTTTATATTACAGATTGGCGGAGGTTTTATAAAATGTATTTTTATATTACAGATTGGCGGGGTTATATAAAATGTGTTACTGACGGGGCTGTATAAAGATTGGCGGAGTTATATAAAATGTATTTTTATATTACAGATTGGCGGGGTTATATAAAATGTATTTTTATATTACAGATTGGCGGAGGTTTTATAAAATGTATTTTTATATTACAGATTGGCGGAGGTTATATAAAATGTATTTTTATATTACAGATTGGCGGGGTTATATAAAATGTATTTTTATATTACAGATTGGCGGAGGTTTTATAAAATGTATTTTTATATTACAGATTGGCGGGGTTATATAAAATGTATTTTTATATTAAAGATTGGCGGGGTTATATAAAATGTATTACTGGCGGGGCTGTATAAAGATTGGCGGGGTTATATAAAATGTATTACTGGCGGGGCTGTATAAAGATTGGCGGGGTTATATAAAATGTATTTTTATATTACAGATTGGCGGGGTTATATAAAATGTATTTTTATATTACAGATTGGCGGGGTTATATAAAATGTATTTTTATATTACAGATTGGCGGGGTTATATAAAATGTATTTTTATATTACAGATTGGCGGTGTCCTAGCCACTTATTTTGTTGTACTGCTGCAGTTCCAGCAGTAGTTTTGATACCTATTCACAATACAAGGGAACCCGCACAACAAGTGTCCGCTCTAACCCAGAAAATAGTGACTGTTATAGCCAAAGCACTTGTAGTTTTTGTTACTATAGAGGATTTTGCGAAATTTCATTTATCAGTGTTCACGATATCTTATTTTTTCTAGCATGTAACTGTTATTCTCGTTGACGAAGTCAATAAATCGTTGACAAACTATGTTGAGTTTATTTATCGACAAGATTTGCCTGTTTGTGGTTTTTACAATCTGGCGAAAATATAGATCTACTTAAGGATACCACTATCTGTGCAGGGTTATTTTTAGTATCGTACCGCTGACGTAATAAAGCCTTCCTCCTTTCCCAAAATCAACAATGCAAAAGTTAAGATCACTAGCTGCATATGAATTTTAAGAATTAACCAAGTACTAGTTAAGACACAGCGATACCAACAAATAGCTGTTAAAATCCAAGATGGCCGTCTGTCGGCCATTTTGTGTTCCGATTAGTCCATAGTACATAAGTATGGACAAGAGCGCCTTTCATATTAATTGTGAGAATGATCCGTCAGACACTTTGTCAGATTTGCTTAAGAAAACACGGACGACAGACGGACGGGCTATAAACGGACGGCCATCGTCTGATGCGCCGACAAAGAAATCCATATTAATCAATTTATGATAGACCACGTGTTTTATATATATAGTAATACATAGACTATGTCATTCTAAAATCCGGAAGTCGGCTCAATTACTGCACATTTGTTTTGATCGAACATAAAACCATTATGGCGATAATGTTTACACTGATGGATTTTTTAGGATTATTCTTTGTCTCGATTTATTCTTCATTTTGAAATGGTTTCATTTTAGCTAATGAAATATGAATTATCATCTTATTTGATAAAAAAAAATAGATTGATACATTATTAGTACAAACATCAAAGTTATTTACATAGTGCTATACACAGAGGTAGGATGTTACGGAACAAAACTTCTCAATGACACAGAATCATTATATAGATTGTTCTAATAGTAAGACAATTTGTGACAAGCGTTTATTAGACCAAGATCGATTTGCAGAAATGTTGTGCAGTGAAATAGATTCCCAGACATACGTCATAAAACCATATATATTTCTTAAACTCCCCCCCCCCCCCCCCCCCTGCCCTCGTTATATTCTGTTGTTCTGTTCTGTAGTAAACCTTCGACTGAAGAATAACATCGAGTTGTGCTAGGATATGCTTAAAAGAACGGTATTGCCCTCAGCAATGTTAACACCATATTAGGTGGCAAACTTTTGATTGAATATATTCCCAGGTAGACAGTCAGTCACATGATCACAGTGTCGAACCTCCAGTTGCTAGAACCGCCGTCCAGTGGTCTGAACGGGGATCCTTTTAGAAACCCGTGACGTCATTCGTGCACTGAAAATAAGATAACTATGTGTATTTTACAGTAATTAAAAGATTCATTTATAATAAATTATAAATAAAATTTAGATGATTCTCGGCAAGGATATCTTGATGTAGGTATTAGTTTTAATTTATTTTTTCTCGTGTTTGATAAGAAATAGAAAGCTTATATAGGTGTCAAGGATGAACAGTTCTCTCCCTTATAGTAAACACAAATAAAAATAACGAAAAGTCAAGATGTCAAATTACTTCAACTCATAATTCACATCTGCGTTTCAAATTATCATGGCAATCATGGTTATATAAATGCAATAAGGAAAGCTGAAGAGTTCAAAGTGTTAAAAAAATGCTGCAGGTTATTTACTTTATATTTTCGGTGGTCAGAAGAAAATTTCCAAATTCGTTAAAGAGTTAATTACAGACAGGAGCTTGGGTCCTGGTTGTCATGGCACTTAATTATCGGCAATATATCTTGTTAATCTTCCATGAATACTTGGTTAGTCAGCAGCTGAGAGGATGTGAAATCCCAGCCAACAAATTTAAATAATAAGATTATTACTACATTAATAACATAACAATACTCATTTTAATCAAGTTTCGTCAGACGGTCGTCATGTTTAATAGAATGACATAAGTCACATTTATGTTTCGTCAGACGGTCGTCATGTTTAACAGAATGACATAAGTCACATTTATGTTTCGTCAGACGGTCGTCATGTTTAACAGAATGACATAAGTCACATTTATGTTTCGTCATGTTTAACAGAATGACATAAGTCACATTTATGTCAGACGGTCGTCATGTTAACAGAATGACATAAGTCACATTTATGTTTCATGTTGAACAGAATGACATAAGTCACATTTATGTTTCGTCTCGTCATGTTGAACAGAATGACATAAGTCACATTTATGTTTCGTCAGACGGTCATCATGTTTAACAGAATAACATAACAAGTCACATTTATGTTTCGTCAGACGGTCATCATGTTTAACAGAATAACATAACATAAGTCACATTTATGTTTCGTCAGACGGTCGTCATGTTGAACAGAATGACATAAGTCACATTTATGTTTCGTCAGACGGTCGTCATGTTGAACAGAATAACATAAGTCACATTTATGTTTCGTCAGACGGTCGTCATGTTACTTACCAGAACATTTACTGAATAACTTACCAATATATTCTTGTCTAGATCTGGCTACATCAGACGGTCGTGATATTCAGACCGGCGGGCGTTGTAGTAGACACTGATTGTTGAAATTGTAGTAAGACAACGAAATAAGTCGCAAATATCCCCGCGATCTGAAAACGAAAATAAAATAATAAATAAATAACCTTCTACTCAGTCAACAAACAGCAGACCAACAACATTCACAAAACATCTGAACAAGACGGCTGGCGTTTTTTATCACTAGCCCTCAATCTGTGTCGTGGTTTCGAGGCCTACATGGGGCAGTTACTGGGTTACGCGAGTCGGTGGTTATTCTATAGGAACGGGGCTTTCCTCCACCAACCAAAACAAGACATATCCTAAAATGACCCCTGTTGTTAAAAAAACGTAAAGTAAATAGTAATAATTAAAAAAGACTGCAATACATATGTATGTGACTTACGCTGACGACGACTTGGCTGTCCACCACAAACAAAGACCATGCCGTCAGACCCATGGGAGGGCCGTTCAGTCGGTGTAGGAATACATTCACCTACAAAAGTAACAACAGAACGTACTGCTATCTGTTAATCTAAATCAAATATTAACGAAAAAAAGTCCCAGAATCATGTCTCATTCTGGACTCATAAGCAAAGCAGTGCGTAACGTTACACCGTTTACGTGTTTTATTACAAGAAAATATGTAAAAAGACATCACCTTGCTATTATGGAATGGAGATCAATAATTATTTATCATTATTTAGATCAATATTCTTATCACCTAACCAATATGCAGTGTTCCTCCAGCTCAAACTTACAGAACAGAATCACAGAGTTCCCTCCTCTTACCTGTTGTGACAAACCCCAGTATCTACGGTAATAGATAAACATTATTACAAACATGCGCTTTCTGCTAGTTATCTGAATGTTAACATTGTTAAAACTTCCGGTACAAAAATTATACAAACACACTGTTTAGGTAAGACTAGAACCACACGATGAAGGGAACTGCATCCAACAGCTGTATCTAAAGTTCTACTCTGTAAATCTCGGAAGCGACTAGCGAAAACAAAAGTAAAAATTTAGACTGGGAGGTAAGCTCGTACCTTTCATGTATCTGATAATTTTGTAAGAACGCCAAGTGTATGTGTACATAATTAATTGAAGAAAAGATGAAAATACTTTGAGTTTTAAATGATATATGTTTATTTCATAGTTAAAAGAAAACACAAACAAACAAACAAACAAAATCTTCTCAAACATTTCCACAAACGCAAAGAAAAACTGACATGTCAACAATTCGTAGTTCAATTTAGTATCGATGAAAAGAGGACATTGTGGACAAAAATATCTACACCGCGGAATATATTCATTACTGCGTACATTAAAACTATACATACGTCTAACCGTTTTTTTTTAAATGTTTTTTTTTTATTTTACTCTTGTATCCCATAATTTAGGGATTTTTTTCTTCAAGTTTGTTTTAACTTGTTTTATTATAGGAAATTTTGAAACATAAAACATGAGGTTCGGATATTTAAAAATTTTTTTTTTAGATAAGTAAGAAATTTCTGTAATCTATGGATGGAATGATGGGCTAGTGTACCTCCCCATCCTGACATTTTCTCGATCGTTTTTTTTTGTTTGAATATTTAGCATTAACCGACAGCTTAGCCTATTGCTAGTTTAATGTAGTAAATTGGATGTGGTGGTTACATTATGACATTTCAGTGTGATAGCCCTATAAAATCAACCATAGACACCACCGTCTTTATATGCCGTGATAAGTTTGATGATCTGAAGTCCATCCTTAGCGTAGGTTCGATGCAAAAATAATCACGCTATCGTCACGACTGCTTTCCTTCATTTCGATCAATCGCAGAGAAATGTTTGCTCAAGATTCGACAAATGTACTTACTTGTAATGCAAATTCAGCGGTGAAATCTTCCATTGAAAGATTGTAGATGAGTTTTGCTGGTTCATGTGCCTGTAAAATATTTGTAAGATTTGTCGTCTTAATTACTTTTGTATAAGAGATAATTAAATTACTCCGTATATCCAATCGCAAGACAAATGAGATTAAAAGTCGTAGAAAGGTTAAAAAAGTCTTAGAAAGGAGAATAAGTTTACTTTAAGAAAATAAACACGGCGAAATAAAACCTGGGACTTGTAAGTTATGGCAGAGACTTAAACTGTGGTAATCTAGGAGATTGTACAAAAACACAATACAATTAATTAAACAACAAACCTACATCATACAGCTGTTTCGTCCTTCTAAGACTCGTCAGTGATGCTACATCATACAGCTGTTTCGTCCTTCTAGGACTCGTCAGTGATGCTACATCATACAGCTGTTTCGTCCTTCTAGGACTCGTCAGTGATGCTACTTCATACAGATGTTTCGCCCTTCTAGGACTCGTCAGTGATGCTACATCATACAGCTGTTTCGTCCTTCTAGGACTCGTCAGTGATGCTACTTCATACAGCTGTTTCGTCCATCTAGGACTCGTCAGTAATGCTACATCATTAAGCTATTTCGTCCTTCTAGGACCCGTCAGGGATGCTACATCATACAGCTGTTTCGTCCTTCTAGGACTCGTCAGTGATGCTACTTCATACAGTTGTTTCGTCCTTCTAGGACTCGTCAGTGATGCTACTTCATACAGCTGTTTCGTCCTTCTAGGCCTCGTCAGTGATGCTACATCGTACAGCTGTTTCGTCCTTCTAGGACTCGTCAGTGATGCTACTTCATACAGTTGTTTCGTCCTTCTAGGACTCGTCAGTGATGCTACATCATACAGCTGTTTCATCCTTCTAGGACTCGTCAGTGATGCTACATCGTACAGCTGTTTCGTCCTTCTAGGATTCGTCAGTGATGCTACTTCATACAGTTGTTTCGTCCTTCTAGGACTCGTCAGTGATGCTACATCATACAGCTGTTTCGTCCTTCTAGGACTCGTCAGTGATGCTACATCGTACAGCTGTTTCGTCCTTCTAGGACTCGTTAGTGATACTACATCATACAGCTGTTTCGTCCTTCTAGGACTCGTCAGTGATGCTACATCATTAAGCTATTTCGTCCTTCTAGGACTCGTTAGTGATACTACATCATACAGCTGTTTCGTCCTTCTAGGACACGTCAGTGATGCTACATCATACAGCTGTTTCGTCCTTCTAGGACTCGTCAGTGATGCTACATCATACAGCTGTTTCGTCCTTCTAGGACTCGTAAGAGATGCTACATCATACAGCTGTTTCGGCCTTCTAGGACTCGTCAGTGATGCTACATCGTACAGCTGTTTCGTCCTTCTAGGACTCGTTAGTGATACTACATCATACAGCTGTTTCGTCCTTCTAGGACTCGTCAGTGATGCTACATCATTAAGCTATTTCGTCCTTCTAGGACCCGTCAGTGATATTAAAGTCTTACATTTTAAAGCCTGAAAAGTGACTAAGGAAAATATTTAGCGATCTAATTGAAAGTGATATTCTAGACTGGGATTTGCCTTAGCCTCATAATTCAGCAAATTTTGTATTTTCATTACTGATTATTTTAGAATAACGTCAAGTACATGTGTATACTCAAAGGTGAGTTAGGAATTACAAAAGGAGGCACATCAACGTCACAAAATCCAAAAGCATTAACGATATATAGATAATTACTCACCCGAATGTTTACTAGAGAACAAACAGCTATCACAGTGATGAGGGTTGTCGACATCCCGAAGAACCAAAAAATGTGGCTGAAAAGTTGACCTGTATCTGACCCCACTCCATCGTATCGACAAAGGTTGTAAATCAGGAGAAGACAATCGAGGATGTGTATGAACAGACATGAGCCGATAAGATGATGCAGGACTTCATCTCCCGTATCTAACATATTACAAAGGATGTTGTGTTGTTGGCGGTATACTTCCAGACATTTCTGTGCTGTTGATACAGTTGCATGTTGACTCATTTTTTTCATTCTGTGAACAAATTGTTTAAATTCGTAATATAATGACAACGATACAATAATCATGAACGCCAGAATTAAGCTCCAAGCACATGACGCCCAGAAAAAAACCACCAGGAACGCTCCGGCTAATAACGGAAAAAACCCATTTGATCTTGGAAACGGTTCCAGAATATTTCTGAAATTGTTCGAATCAAATATCACATAAAGAAAAAAAGCAGCATTTGCTATTGTGGCGCACCAACCGAAGACCGTACCGATAGAAGCGCATCTTCGTATGCGCCGCCAAGAACATACTTGTTCACTGTTCAAGTTCTCAGAATCGTTTTTCACCATTTCCCAATACTTTCTCCATAACATAAAGAACTGGATCAGGACTGTAGGATTTTCCACCATTTTGTAACAGATAACACTGATGAGGAGACATTGAAGAAAGAAGGCGTGGATCTGAATGGTAGACAATAACTCATATCCGAAATCAAAGGACCGATATGCCAGAAAGTATCTGGTGAAATTGAACCCGAGTAAGATAATAACAATTATTCTGTATAATTTTAAAACTGTTCGTCTTCCTTCAGGTTTTCCTTCTCCGTATTCCAGAAATTTCCAGATGTCAAACAGACCCATTATCGACATTGACAACAACAAGGGCCGCAATGCGGACACCAGACAGTTAGATTGCTTTACATCTTGTGGTGATATCTTGCCTGTGGTAGCATTAGATTCCGGTTGTATTTTCGAAGAATCTATAGAATCCACCACGCCTACTGTAGCGGTCTTTGTTCCGGTCATCACTGACGCTCAAAGGAGAAGTTTTAGTTTTACCGAGTTTGTCACGTTGTAAAATGTTCTGTCGCGTTGTAAGATGTTCTGTCGCGTTGTAAGATGTTCTGTCACGTTAGTAAGATGTTCTGTCGCGTTGTAAGATGTTCTGTCACGTTGTAAGATATCCTGTCGCGTTGTGAGATGTTCTGTCACGTTGTGGTATGTTCTGTCGCGTTTTTGATATACAAAATGGAACACAAGTAAAACAATCATTGATTTTTAATTCACAAGTCTCCAGTTTTATCGGAACATGCTATAATCAGTTTCTTGATTTTGTCGCATTAATGAAAGTGCGTAAACAACACATAAATGTGTCCAATATAACACTATGTATATGTTGGTGTATAATTCGGCAAGTGAAACAAAGACAAGTTCCTCTTCAAAGAATAAGTCCAGACTTAGGACCGCATTTAAACCCCTCCTCTGTCCACGGACAATGTAGATTGGACATCTGATCACTGTGAGTCACTCATCAACCTGCTCATTTGCTAGTAGTACTTTACATCAGTATATACATAGCTCGATCATTTTTACAAACCTTCGTAATCTAATGGTTTATCCACATAACAATGTTGTACTCGTTTCCTGGGAAATCACAACCACGTCTATAAAGATATACAACCGTCTATTATGGATAATTCCTGTCCATTTTAAACATGAATAGTCTAAACTTTAGAACGACATCAAGTTAACTTTGTTTCTGTGTTTATCATGCGTTTTAATTTTTAATTTAAACATCGATATTACACTAGAAAAGATTTCATTAACAACTGGTCAATTAGCTGCTGTCTTTGAAGTTTCATTGGTACGTACAGGGGTGATCAATATCAGTGATTGTTGACCATACCTCAAGTAATCTCAGAGGATAAAAGGCACGTGACGCATTTAAAATTAAAGTGGTTCAACATAATTCATCAAACTGCACCGTACATCTGTTGTGTCCTTCCAGGAATTATCAGTGACACAAGAAGAATGAAGCATGGACACCGGGGAAAAACAACACGAAAAAATATTATATTTATTTATTTTTTCAGTTTGATAAATGTATTATCATCCATTGATGATCCCAAATGGTGATAAAATTTTGACCAATCAGAAAGGCTCTTGCTAGTCACTGCATTAAAAAAGTTTGACATTAAAATGCAAATGAAATGTACGCGGATATGAGTTTTTTTATATAAATTATTCTCTGACAGTATTTGCTGATTGAGACAACATCTATAACCGTAAAGTAAGGTTTACGAACACGTCATACATCCTCCACATCATCTTGTGGAACAATACGTGTTTTTTATCTACAGTATTCTCCATCCTGACCAGGAAGTATTGACAGCGTACACTCATGGTAGTAAACAATAGCGACTGAGAAACTGAAGGATATGATATGGTCCGTTCTTTTCTGTCTTCTTTCACTACTGTTTCCTATGCTGGTGTTCACACCTGTTCCTTCGCTCAAAACTCCAAAGAAAGATATACTTTCACCGCGTAGTTCAGTGGAGGGGTGCCATTTAATGATAGAAAATTTAGGTGACAAAGAGAGGTTGTATGACAAAGAGGTAGTATGACAAAGAGGGGTATGACAAAGAGGGGTATGACAAAGAGGGTGTATGACAAAGAAGGGGTATGACAAAGAAGGTGTATGACGAATAGGGGGTATGACAAAGAGGATGTATGACAAAGAGGGTGTATGATAAAGACTGTGTATGACAAAGAGGTTGTATGACAAAGAGGGGGTATGACAAAGAGGGGGTATGACAAAGGGGGTATGACAAAGAGGGTGTATGACAAAGAGGTTGTATGATAAAGACTGTGTATGACAAAGAGGGGGTATGACAAAGAGGGGGTATGACAAAGAGGTTGTATGACAAAGAGGGTGTATGATAAAGAGGGGGTATGACAAAGAGGTTGTATGACAAAGAGGGGGTATGATAAAGAGGGGTATGACAAAGAGGGTGTATGACGAATAGGGGGTATGACAAAGAGGATGTATGACAAAGAGGGTGTATGATAAAGACTGTGTATGACAAAGAGGGGATATGACGAAGAGGTTGTATGACAAAGAGGGGTATGACAAAGAGGTTGTATGACAAAGAGGGGATATGACGAAGAGGTTGTATGACAAAGAGGGGTATGACAAAGAGGGTGTATGACAAAGAGGTTGTATGATATAGACGGTGTATGACAAAGAGGAGGTATGACAAAGAGGTTGTATGACAAAGAGGGGTATGACAAAGAGGGTGTATGATAAAGACGGTGTATGACAAAGAGGGTGTATGACAAAGAGGGGTATGATAAAGACGGTGTATGACAAAGAGGGGTATGATAAAGACGGTGTATGACAAAAAGAGTGTATAACAAAGAGGGGTATGACGAAGAGGGGTATGATAAAGACGGTGTATGACAAAGAGGTTGTATGACAAAGAGGGGTATGACAAAGAGGGTGTATGACAAAGAGGATGTATGCAAAATATCGTGTATGACAAAGAGGATGTATGACAAAGAGGGTTTATGACAAAGAGGGCCTGGTCACAGCACCCAACATAGGTCACAGCGCTAGGGGAGGATCCAAATGGTTTAGGTGTCTTCTTCTGTTTTTAAACGGTTTTTGTGATTTACAGAAGATTCACAAGTGAATAGCACCATTCAATAAAACAAAGAAATAAACACAGTAGAGTCAAAGAGTGAAATATTGGGACCATGCACTTGTTTTGTCCTCCTGGGATTTGTCAGGAGGGATGCTAAATGACATTCCACAAAGATGACAAGGAATTTGAGGGAGACCTTTCTCCCAGACTGTAACACAATAAATTAACTCGTTGAAGAGAAGGTGGTCATGTAGGTAAGGAAACTGACACATGAGGGTGTCTATAAGGAGATACTATCTCTGTAAGATAACAGTGTATTAACACTTCATGGTACAATCAGCACTAGTATCGTTATCAAATTCGGCCGCCTGTCTATGCTAATGGGTGTTGTGATATTGTTCGTGTAGTTCCGTACCGAATTTATGTACTATCGAGAGAACCTTTCATCATATTTTTTTTAATGTTTAACCAAAAATATCATAAAATAAATATATATCAAAATATTTTTTTTAATTTTTAGCATATTTCTTAATTTTTTTTAATTAACTCCCCTCCCCTGAAATCCACATCAAATATTTATAGACTGACTATGTTTTAGATTTAGCATCATCTGTAAACTACATTTTAATGCCGGTTCGTGTCTCCTGAGAAATGTTCAAGTCCATTTATCGCCATAAAAATAATGTTTCTCATCAGCTAATGACAAAAATGATATTCAGTAATCATCTAAGGACGCTGTGTAAATAAACGGGTAGGACATGGCAATAATAATTCTACAACGACAACAACCGGCGATACAATCTATTCAACACTAACAACAAGAAGCCCAATGGGTCTAGTGGTCACGTGTGTAAACAGTGCTTAACAGTTCTTAACGAGGTTCCATGCAATGACTTCAAAGTACCACGAGTACAAATGGAAAAAGAACAAACCGACATGTTAACGCTATCATAATTCAACCACATATTCAATGAAATCTAGAGCAATATAAAAACGAAAGAAAGTTTTAAACAGAGCCTCTTTAAAAAATGAGAATAAGATCAGGGGTTCCGGAAGGTTATGCGCCTTTTGCTTCATGGACGATATCCGCCATTACTCTTCGTGAAATGGTCAGTGGCGTTTAACAGGACTCAACATCTTAACAGATGATATGGACATTCCGGAGCCTGAAGCTGGTTCCTAGTTCCCTAATGTTAAACAAAACTAGGATGTAGTTCCAAGTTCTATTTTTTTCTTAAACAAAACTAGGATCTGGTTCGTAGTTCTGTTTTTTCTCAAACGAAACTAGGATCTGGTTTCCACTTCTGTTATTCTAAAACGAAACAAGGTTCTGGTTCCCAGTTCCGTATTAACTAGGAACTAGGAGCCAGGAACTGGGAACCAACTTCAGGTTTCCTCGACATTTACATATATTATCCCGCTAGAACTCCTCCTTAAAGTGTCACCACACGTATGAACTATTTGGATCAGACTGTGGTAAATCAAACTCATGACCAACTCTAGATCGAATGGTCAAATGACCCCCGTGAGTCCATGAAACAGAAAATATTTAACACCGCAATATACCATACAAAAACGTCAAGTTGATGTTAGTACGTGAACCGTGCCACTATTCCGATAAATTAAAACATAACGTGTTTACTATTTAAGCATTCAAAAAGAAGTATTGTACTGCATTGTGAAGACTGTTGTTATCTACCTTCAATATCCTATATAAATAAAGGGCAATGCGTCAAACTTTAAAAATATTCTGACTCGATTAATTAAATAAAGGAATTTGTAATGATCTGGTATCGGAAATCAATACCGGAGTTGCCTAGCGATGAGATATGCTTCTACAAGCGATGATATTGACCAATGATCGAAAACATTGCTTATATAGGGAAAAGGTTCCAAGTCTGTTTGATGTAATACACGTCAATTAATAAATGCAAACATATCCTGTTACTTAAAGGATTGGTTCGGCTATAAATAATATAGTTTTAAATGTAGTAATCATCGGTAACGTCCTGCATTTCATTAATTGTGTTTGTTTTGGCGAGAAGTGTTAAGTTACAGGCTTTAAAGCTAAGTTCAATCATACAGTGACACAGTGTGGGTCAGTAACAGAAAGTTCAACAGTACAGTGACACAGTGTTGGTCAGTAACAGAAAGTTCAACAGTACAGTGACACAGTGTTGGTCAGTAACAGAAAGTTCAACCATACAGCGACACGGTGTGGGTCAGTAACAGAAAGTTCAACCATAATGTGACACAGTGTTGGTCAGTAACAGAAAGTTCAACCATACAGTGACACAGTGTTGGTCAGTAACAGAAGTTCAACAGTACAGTGACACAATGTTGGTCAGTAACGGAAGTTCAACCATACAGTGACACAGTGTTGGTCAGTAACAGGAAGTCCAACCATACAGTGACACAGTGTTGGTCAGTAACGGAAGTTCAACAGTACAGTGACACAGTGTTGGTCAGTAACGGAAGTTCAACCATACAGTGACACAGTGTTGGTCAGTAACAGGAAGTTCAACCATACAGTGACACAGTGTTGGTCAGTAACAGACAGTTCAGCCATACAGTGACACAGTGTTGGTCAGTAACAGAAAGTTCAACCATACAGCGACACGGTGTTGGTCAGTAACAGACAGTTCAACAGTACAGTGACACAGTGTTGGTCAGTAACGGAAGTTCAACCATGCAGTGACACAGTGTTGGTCAGTAACAGGAAGTTCAACCATACAGTGACACAGTGTTGGTCAGTAACGGAAGTTCAACCATGCAGTGACACAGTGTTGGTCAGTAACAGGAAGTTCAACCATACAGTGACACAGTGTTGGTCAGTAACAGAAGTTCAACCATACAGTGACACAGTGTTGGTCAGTAACGGAAGTTCAACCATACAGTGACACAGTGTTGGTCAGTAACGGAAGTTCAACCATACAGTGACACAGTGTTGGTCAGTAACGTAAGTTAAATTAAAATGAAGTGTTCACGTGCTGTTGAATTCTTTCCGAGTCAGTAGATTTTATTGGAGATTAAATAGAAAGGAAAGATCAGCTGTTGAACCAAACTATAGACTTACATCATCAGACAAACAGGCAGTAGAACTTCGTATCTATAACAAAGAATTATGACTTGCTGTGAAAGTGAATAAGATAGAGATGGAAATTCGTGTTTGGGAATCAACGACAATCGTGGACTGTTAAATCTGAGCAGGTTTCTACAGTAAATCATGCTGAATACAGTACACAGGACGGCCTTATTTAGTAAGTTTAACTGAAAACGGACTTCGTGATTGTCGAAAAGAGTTCACTGAGATAAATTAGATCTAAACAGTAGGGAATACTGAATTCTCTATTTCAAAGCTAAATATTTACTCAGCTCGATACAAAGACAATGACAATTACCAACGCTTGATAACCTACCAATGGCGACACACTACGGTGCTTGATTAACGGGATATAATGTACGGTGTTAGGTGAACTTTACATGTTAAATCCATTTGATGAAGATGAGAGATGTTTCATCAATCACATATGAGGAGGACAGGTAGATAATGGTGAACCTTTGTTATTGTTTAATGTATAATCAATTAATCCTAGTTCAGAAGACTGACACCAGCATAGATCTGGTAAACGGTACTGAACACAAGTCGAGATTAGGCAGAACACTGTTCGGGATGAGGCAGGCGGAACACGGTTCTGGATAAAACGGTCTGGATAAAGTGGGACACGGTTTGGGATACGGAGGAATACGGTTCGGGATACGGAGGAACACTGTTTGGGATACGGAGGAACACGGTTCGGGATAATCAATCCCCTGAAGTGCACTGCTGGGTTATCGAACTGCTTGGACACACTGCCCCCTGGATTTTGTTAGTTATTTTAAGAAGCAAATACTCTCTAAACCACATTTGTATTAATACCTTTTTAGTAACTTTAGGTTTGGCAGGAACACATTCGGACTTCAGTGAAGAAATCAAACATAGATCTGATTAGATTAACATATACTTTTGACATTATCAACATACCGCTTTCGCTTACTATAAAACTTCGCTATGACGAGGACGAAGATTTCGGTAGCGAGTGTTGGAATGGTCGAACCTTTTGAAACCTCCGAGTTACCATCGAAACCCAATACGGATAAGATATCATCAGAAGATGTGAAGCGATCTAACTGCCTTTTGTCAGCTTTACGACCTCTGCTCTTCTCTATGTCGATAACGGGTTTGTTTGACGTGTGGAAATTTCTGGAATATGGACAAGGTAAGCCTGTGACGAAAAGAATATTTTTGAAATTATACCGGATAATGTTACTTGTTTTATTCGGTTTTAACTGCATAAGGTATTTCCTTGCTTACCATTCATTTGACTTCGGGTCTGAACTGCTGTCTACAGTTCTGATACACGCCTGGTTTATTCTCTGTTCGACCTCCGCTGTTTCATGCTACAGAATCACAGAAAATCCTGAGAATCTCATCACGTTCTTCAGTCTGTGGAGGAAGTATTGGAATATGGTCACAGAGGTTGATTCTAGCGTAAAACAAGCGTGTTCATGGCGGCAAATACGAAAATACACTAATGTCTGTACAGTAATTGGCTGGTTTGCCATTTTTGGAAATATCGGGTTTTGCAGTTATACATTGATATCAGGAGCTGCTTTCAAAAACATGATAGAACCTTTTCCAAGATCACACGGTCTGTTTCCAGTTATAGCTTCGATGTATCTGGTAATTGTTCTCTATCTGACATGTGCTTGGTCATTCTCAACAGGTCTCATGATTACACTTACATTGTCGATGTATCAGGAATTCAAACAATTCGCGCTGAGATTGGAAAAAGTGACACAGAAGTCAGTTGCAGAAGTGAAGGAAAATATGGAAGCGATGCGAAAGCAACATAACGCTCTTTGTAACATGTTGGATAAAGCAGACGACATTTTAAAACATCAAGTCGGACTTTGTCTCGTCGTGCACGTGTTCCTGATACTTCTACTGATATATAACATATGCTGGTATGAAATAGTACGTACAGACATCGGAGTACTTGTCAGTCACCTATTCTGGCTCACCGCCACATCGACAATACTGACTGCATTGATGGCAACGTGTTGTCTCCTAAATATACAGGTAAGACCGTCTCCTTAACATACAGGTAAGTCTCCTAATAATACAGGTAAGATCACCTCCTTAACATACAGGTAAGACAGTCTCCTTAACATACAGGTAAGACCGTCTGTTTAACATACAGGTAAGACCGTCTCCTTAACATACAGGTAAGACCGTCTCCTTAACATACAGGTAAGACCGTCTCCTTAACATACAGGTAAGACCGTCTCCTTAACATATATGTCAGACCTGACAAATTTGGATCAATAGCGCAAAAAAATCATTTCAATGATTTTGGTCTGTCAAAGCTTCCACAGCATCGTACACTGTTGCTGATGCTCAACTCGGAGCTAAACTCGGAGAACAAATCCGAGGTTATCGTTTCACGTTGGTATGTTCTGTAGAACTACACTATATTCATGTTTGGTGTCAATTTCATTAGAACTGAGGTTATGGTTACGAGTTTGTTTAAATGCTTTTTCTTTAAAAGTAGAATTCTCATATTTGCAAGAATGACTACAAAATTGGATGCGAAATCTCTCTTTGCATCCATAAACCATGAACTTATTCGCGGACCGGGACAAGAGTTTTAAATTCCTGGTATTTCGATTCCCTATAAAATATTCGATGGGTGTTATAAATTTGTACTCTCTTAAATGAAAAACCGCTTACATTGAATTCTATTGTTACCACTAGTACATTCTGTATGTATAATAATTATTATTAGAGAGGGTAAGATGGCCGTAGTTAATAACTGACATGTCAAATATCATACCTCACCTTGAAATAGTAACGTTACATATGTTCACATCAGTCTATCGGCATACTAGATTAATCAATACACTATTGTCAATGGCGTTAATGAGGAGTTTACTACGTCAACAAACTAGACAATGGCAGTTTGATCATTCGTTGGTCAATATCAATCTCCAGAAGACAAACCCACCCATTACATATGTAACACGGAAAAGCAATAACCGATAACTGTTTGACAGTACGGTAAAAATTATCATAAAAAAGATCTTAAGTTGATTGTTGTCGAATCTAGGTTATAATAATACTACGACTCAACTTTTAGGTGTCTTAGCAACAGCTTCTTAATAGAATTGGCACGCTTGCTTATTACGTCATGTAATCACATACTGCCCCCACCCCAATCCCTTTTATGAATTTTTTTTATGAATACTGCTAGCAATGAATTATGTTTCAAAGTGTTCCATGATCCTAGAATGGTACTTTCATGTTGTAAACCTGACGACCTTATATGTCGCTGGTGTATTCTCTTAAGGGGATATAGGTGGTAGGACTATAGGGCCTTCCGTTTTACATCGCATGATGGTAGGTGGCGACTAAAACCACGTGACCCTGGCTGTTGGTGTCTTCTTAGACTTATCTTCATAAGACCCTGACTGTTAGTGTCTTCCCAACCTGTCTTCATATGACCCTGTCTGTTGGTGTCTCTATTGACACCCGTCCTCATATGACCCTGACTGTTGGTGTCTCCCTTGAAATCCGTCCTCATATGACCCTTACTGTTGGGGAGGGGAAGGGTGATGGTGCTGTGTTCATGTGTGTGAGGGGCGTGGGTTACAGGGTTTGGTAATATGGAAATATTCGATTTTTTCCGATGTACACAAATACAAAAACAGAATGTTCTCAGTATTAGGAGAACAAAAACTGTCGTGATGTCATCAATTTTTCAAAGTTATATTAATGTCTTCATAAACTAATGTAAATGACACCCATACTTAGTGTCCCTAGATCATACCACATATCGACTGGATGCAATTTACGCTAACTAATTAAAAATTCAACAAACGGATTAAAACATCTGTTGGAACCACGCATATAGATTAACATCATGCACAGAAATGAACGGAAATAAATTGATAAATACCACAGACTAAAACAAATTTCACAAACTATACAAAAAACCTCAAGAGTGTGTCGAAATTCAGCAGACCGTAACGGACTTAACACGTTCAACTTTTTAAAGGCGATTAGGAATTTAAGGACAAAGAGAACACTACCTTTGGGAGCTTTGTTCATGCGACTAGCCTGGCTTGCCAGGAAAATCACACTTGGCTTCGTTTTGAAGACGTGTTGAAATCTTGCTTTGTATTCTATATATACAACAGGAAAAAATCTTAGACGCGGTGTTTCAAACCATTCATTTCAAAATACGTCACTTTAAGAATACTAACGGGATGAGACAGCAAAGTAATGTCGGGTATTACATTTTGTAAATTGTGACAATCAAATTCGGTTTCCACACTGTTTCAACTAATTGTTTTTAACTATGTTTAGATGATATCATTGTGTATCATGAGAAAGGTAACGTATATTGAACGTATGTAAAACATATTCACTACACCAGAACTCATTAGCTTCAAAATCTCACCATATTTCAGCTTTCTTTTTAATTTTATGCGAAAATATTGCTTCGTAGCTGGTTATTTTAAATGTGAATACCTTTCGATAGGTTGCTTTTATAGGTTGCATTGAATTTCAAGTGAATCAGCACCGTGTATGCTAATGACGCTACACCCACATAGACGATTTCATGAGACCAATATGAGAAAAATACTTAAGGGAACCGGTGGGCGATAGTCTGTCTCAAAAGGGGATATTTTAAACGTCACTATGTCCAAATTGTACAACATATTTAGATGAGTTATTTGATATGCAAATTGGATATTACTCCATATTTCCTGTCTTCGCTTCATCAAGGCTACATATTATTAAAAAAAGTAATACACAAGGACTAGAAAGGTTGGTTTTTAATTTGCGAGTGAAAAGAACAGTAGATGTATGTATTTCCTTTTCTTTTTCTATCAACCTTTCTTTAAATTATAACTGAATCGTAATAAAATGTTAAAATGAATTTTTTTTATATATTTCATATAATTACACGTGACCAGCTACTAACAGTTAATTATATCCAGGATGAGCTTTTGTAACGATTATACATAATTCATGGAAAATGTAAACGCACACTGAAAGCGTTATCATACACTGTAATACAGGTTATCTTAAAGGAAAAAAAACACAATGAATACAAACTTCGTTTCCCCAGTAAGAGATCACACTTGTGTAATGTATACTCTCTCTCTCTCTCTCTCTCTCTCTCTCTCTCTCTCTCTCTCTCTCTCTGTGTGTGTGTGTGTGTGTGTGTGGGTGTCTGTGTGTGTGTGTGTGTGTGTGTGTGTGTGTGTGTGTGTGTGTGTGTGTGTGTGTGTGTGTTTGGGGATTGGGTGTGTGTTTTGAAATCCTCCTTTATCGTTGTTTCCATTTTGTTTTTGCCACAGGCACATGAACCTGCAAAATTCATATACAACCTTTCAATGAGAGACATTACAGCAGAATTTTCTACACAGGTAAGTACAATCTGCTACCGTGTGATTTTACTGTACCTTAATTAGCACTTGAAGATTTAACCTAGTTTTTGTACCGGTGTCCATGTCATTAGCAGATACTTTATTTGTGAAATCTTGAGTTGAATGTGTTTGATACTCTTTAATATGTCTGTTCATTTCGTTGTTCTGATATGATCGGGGACCACGCTAGTCTCAACAATATATGAAAATAAGCTTAATGCTAATATTTCAAGTTACAGCTGTCAATACTTATCAGCTAATCGCCAGCTTTTTAAAAAGTCATTAATATTTCTTAGAAACTTAGAACGTAGAATCTCCGAAATGACGCGCAAATTAATAGTCAGAGATAAATGTTATATTTAACCGCAAAATGCCTTCATGAATGATTAAATGGGATAGCTATGATATTTACTGAAGCCCGTATACTTCATTAGTATAAAAGCATTTGTATAATTTACATCAGACATCACACTTTAAGTTGATTGGTTCGTTTATATCGTAGTCATGGAGAAATTTATTACTGATATAGGTAATCTTATTTGTGTAAACATTCGAAATCATTTTGCGATCCGAGAAAAAAAATCTGCTTTTAATATTTATTAATATTTAACTTGAATGATAATCACAACGTTATTTGTTTAATTAACATATCTGATTCTTTATTACAAACACAGCTGTATATTGTAACATTACAGTCCATTATTAATCACAGTGAACTATTGAATTATGAGAGGCCATATCAGTTAGGGACTAATGAAACATTTCTACCAATCAGGTTTGATTATCACACTGCCTGTTCAGTGTTTACGTTTATCATTTTCAATTTTCGTCTTATGAGAAGGGAAGGGAACATCAATCATTACTTTTAATATTTCTACTCTTTTGGCAGTTCATGAGCTGGTAATACACATCTGACTTTGATAAGGTAACATCGTAGAAGATTATACAATGATAACTATTCATCAGACATTTTCCGAGAGAAACTTGAAATAGTCTATCTGGCTAGAAAATTCAACTAGTTAGTTATGGGCGCTTGCAGTTCAGAGAAGACGCGTTAAATAAAGCTGTAATATGATGCTATTTCACTAAGTTTGCGATTTAGCATCACTGACGAGTCCAAGAAGGACGAGACAACTGTATGATGTAGCATCACTGACGAGTCCCAGAAGGACGAAACAGCTGCATGAAATAGCATCACTGACGAGTCCTAGAAGGACGAAATAGCTGTTCGATTTAGCATCACTGACGAGTCCTAGAGGGACGAAATAGCTGTTTGATGTAGCAACACTGACGAGTCCTAGAAAGACGAAACAGCTGTATGATGTAGCAACACTGACGAGTCTAGAAGGACGAAACAGCTGTATGATGTAGCATCACTGACGAGTCCTAGAAGGACGTAACATATGTATGATGTAGCATCAATGACGAGTCCTAGAAGGACAAAACAGCTGTGTGATGTAGTATCACTGACGAGTCCTAGAAGGACGAAACAGCTGTATAGTGTAGCATCACTGACGAGTCCTAGAAGGACGAAACAGCTGTATGATGTAGCATCACTGACGAGTCCTAGATGGACGAAACAGCAGTATGATGTAGCATCACTGACGAGTCCTAGAAAGACGAAACAGCTGTATAGTGTAGCATCACTGACGAGTCCTAGAAGGACGAAACAGCTGTATGATGTAGCATCACTGACGAGTCCTAGATGGACGAAACAGCAGTATGATGTAGCATCACTGACGAGTCCTAGACGGACGAAACAGCTGTATGATGTACCATCACTGACGAGTCCTAGAAGGACGAAACAGCAGTATGATGTAGCATCACTGACGTGTCCTAGAAGGATAAAACAGATGTATGATGTAGCATCACTGACGAGTCCTAAAGGACGAAACAACTGTATGATGTAACATCACTGACGAGTCCTAGAAGGACGAAACAGCTGTATGATGTAACATCACTGACGAGTCCTAGAAGGACATAACAGATGTATGATGTAGCATCACTGACGAGTCCTAGAAGGACATAACAGATGTATGATGTAGCATCACTGACGAATCCTAGAAGGACGAAACAGCTGTATGGTGTAGCATCACTGACGAGTCCTAGAAGGACGAAACAGCAGTATGATGTAGCATCACTGACGAGTCCTAGAAGGACATAACAGATGTATGATGTAGCATCACTGACGAGTCCTAGAAAGACGAAACAGCTGTATGATGTAGCATCACTGACGAGTCCTAGAAGGACGAAACAGCAGTATGATGTAGCATCACTGACGAGTCCTAGAAGGACGAAACAGCTGTATGGTGTAGCATCACTGACGAGTCCTAGAAGGACGAAACAGCAGTATGATGTAGCATCACTGACGAGTCCTAGAAGGACAAAACAGCTGTATGATGTAACATCACTGACGAGTCCTAAAGGACGAAACAGCTGTATGATGTAACATCACTGACGAGTCCTAGAAGGACGTAACAGCTGTATGATGTAACATCACTGACGAGTCCTAGTTGTGTTGAAGGTCTTCTGTATAATTTCAGGACTCTCCATCGCTGCTAAGACACTAAATAATAGAATGTGTTTCCTGTTGTTTAGCATGTTACTTTTGTAGGTGAATGTATTCCTACACCGACTGAACGGCCCTCCCATGGGTCTGACGGCATGGTCTTTGTTTGTGGTGGACAGCCAAGTCGTCGTCAGCGTAAGTCACGTCTATATGGACTGGACAAATAATTATCAGAAATCTCGAACTGGGTCTGTGATTAATGGAAATTCCCTACCTTAAGGGTTTGGCGGAGAAATCTCTTATTATCTGTGTGATAATCTTACCGACTAACCCTAAGTTTAAGGTAGAGGAAAATTGATTTTCTCCCGTCATGATATTCCATTTCCACGAAATCCAAATGTTTAAGTTATGGTAATTTTGACGGAAACACCAAAAAAACAAATAATTCTATGCATTTTTCAATTGAATATCTAGTTTTGATGCAAGATATTTTGTGAAATGGTCAAAATTAGAACGGGACTTATACTGATCCCGGCTGTAACAATCCCTTGGATAATTCTGGATGTCTTTTGTGATAAATGTAACAAATAAATCGTCTGATACTTTGTTTTTATTTCAGGTCGCTGGAATGCTCGCAACTTACTTTGTGGTACTGCTCCAGTTTCAACAGGCATCAACCAGCACAACCGCCAGCGGGAATAGCACAGCTACCTGAGGATGATCAACCTCCAAATAGATATAAGCTACTCACGAAATACCGTTACACATATGGATGTTTGAGTGATACAACTGCCATGTTGTCCTGAAATGTTTTTTAACTTTCATAAATTAACTTGCAATTCATTGCACGGGAAGTGAAAACAGATCTTATATCATAGATTGAGCGGAAAGGACACTGGTATTAACCGAGACGAATCACGTGATGATCACGTGATAATTAACAGGAGATTAAGAGGACATCTTTATGTTTTAAGTATCCCGATGGAAGATAATTTAGATATATCAACAGATAGTACAAATGGTTGTCAGATAAAATTCGGAAATGTTTGTGTTGGATTATGTTCACGTGTCGGTATGCTCTTGTTTACATATATAGCATACCTTTGTTTAAGTGCATCATTCACGCAGTCATATATGTTTGACAATGCCTTGAAAATGGTCATCATTTGTTTGATGAAATTTTGTGGAAACACTTCAAACTTATCAATGTTTATCTATTATATCAGTGTCAGACTTAATTGCCATGTATAACATCAGTTATTGGTGACCTGTATAACATGACATCAGTTATTGGTGACCTGTATAACATTACATCAGTTATTGGTGACCAGTATAACATTACATCAGTTATTGGTGACCTGTGTAACATGACATCAGTTATTGGTGACCAGTATAACATTACATCAGTTATTGGTGACCTGTATAACATTACATCAGTTATTGGTGACCAGTATAACATTACATCAGTTATTGGTGACCTGTGTAACATTACATCAGTTATTGGTGACCTGTATAACATAACGTCAGTTATTGGTGACCTGTATAACATTACATCAGTTATTGGTGACCTATATAACATAACGTCAGTTATTGGTGACCGGTATAACATTACATCAGTTATTGGTGACCTATATAACATTGTGTTAGTTATTGGTGACCTGTATAACATTACATCAGATATTAATGACCTGTATAACATTACATCAGGTATTGGTGACCTGTATAACATTACATCAGATATTAATGACCTGTATAACATTACATCAGTTATTGGTGACCTGTATAACATAACGTCAGTTATTGGTGACCTGTATAACATTACATCAGTTATTGGTGACCTATATAACATAACGTCAGTTATTGGTGACCGGTATAACATTACATCAGTTATTGGTGACCTATATAACATTGTGTTAGTTATTGGTGACCTGTATAACATTACATCAGATATTAATGACCTGTATAACATAACATCAGGTATTGGTGACCTGTATAACATAACATCAGGTATTGGTGACCTGTATAACATTACATCAGTTATTGGTGACCTGTATAACATAACATCAGTTATTGGTGACCTGTATAACATAACATCAGTTATTGGTGACCTGTATAACATTACATCAGATATTAATGACCTGTATAACATTACATCAGGTATTGGTGACCTGTATAACATTACGTCAGTTATTGGTGACCTGTATAACATTACATCAGTTATTGGTGACCTGTATAACATTACATCAGGTATTGGTGACCTGTATAACATTACATCAGTTATTGGTGACCTATATAACATAACGTCAGTTATTGGTGACCTGTATAACATTACATCAGTTATTGGTGACCTATATAACATAACGTCAGTTATTGGTGACCTGTATAACATTACATCAGTTATTGGTGACCTATATAACATTGTGTTAGTTATTGGTGACCTGTATAACATTACATCAGATATTAATGACCTGTATAACATTACATCAGTTATTGGTGACCTGTATAACATTACATCAGATATTAATGACCTGTATAACATTACATCAGTTATTGGTGACCTGTATAACATTACATCAGATATTAATGACCTGTATAACATTACATCAGTTATTGGTGACCTGTATAACATTACATCAGTTATTGGTGACCTGTATCAGACAACATCAGTTATTGGTGACCTATATAACATTACATCAGTTATTGATGACCTGTATAACATAACATCAGTTATTGGTGACCTGTATAACATTACATCAGTTATTGATGACCTGTATAACATAACATCAGGTATTGGTTACCTGTATAACATAACGTCAGTTATTGCTGACCTGTATAACATTACATCAGGTATTGGTGACCTGTATAACATTGTGTCAGTTATTGGTGACCTGTATAACATAACAACAGGTATTGGTGACCTGTGTAACATTACATCAGTTATTGGTGACCTGTATAACATAACGTCAGTTATTGGTGACCTGTGTAACATTACATCAGTTATTGGTGACCTGTATAACATTACGTCAGTTATTGGTGACCTGTATAACATAACATCCGTGGTGAGGTTTAATGTTGCCTAGTAAAACCTTGTCATCTGTTGTGAAATTTAATGTTGTCTAGTAAAACCTTGTCATCCGTGGTGAAGTTTGATGTTCTCCAGTAAAGCCTTGTCATCCGTGGTGAGGTTTGATGTTGTCTAGTAAAACCTTGTCATCTGTTGTGAAATTTAATGTTGTCTAGTAAAACCTTGTCATCTGTTGTGAAATTTAATGTTGTCTAGTAAAACCTTGTCATCCGTGGTGAGGTTTGATGTTGCCTAGTTAAGCCTTGTCATCCGTGGTGAGGTTTAATGTTGCCTAGTAAAATCTTGTCATCCGTGGTAAGGTTTAATGTTGCCTAGTAAAACCTTGTCATCCGTGGTGAGGTTTGATGTTGCCTAGTAAAACCTTGTCATCTGTTGTGAGGTTTAATGTTGTCTTAGTCGGAAGATCATATGGAGACTACAGACACCGTTTGGTGACCTCGTGTTGATTTAGCGGAAACTGCAGCTGATGACCTTTGGAATATTCAAGGTCATTGATGATGCGGCACAAATATGGCTTTTTAAACCTTTCCGCTTGGATAGTCCCGATTATACTGCAACTCGTCAATTTATGAAAGTTGAGTTACACTAATAAAGGATAGGATGTTTTAATATTAATGATATTTTTACAACTGAAATCTGTTCAATCTCACAATCTACCGTTCTTTGAAATAAAAAAATACTGTAATTTCCTACATTTATCTCACGCTCATTGCATCCAAACTTTTCAACTACAAACAAACGCTGCAGTAATTTGAACGTAGATGACCCATGAACTGCTTTTCCGTCAACTGGTCAATATGGTCAAACTTGGCACATAATATCTGGCGATTGAAGCATCATCCAAAACATTAAACTACGATAATTTTTCATAAATGGTCCTAAATATTTCGAAACCCCGTCCATTAATTGGAATATAAATGTCAAGATAGTTTTGGATTCCAAGGAAAAGTACGCCGAAGAGTGCCGACACGAAAGCGTTTAATTCGCCCCCAGGGTGGGTTAAAGTCGTACTTAAAGGAACAAGCAGCTTGAAATATACAAGGAAAGCATTCCTTGACCCTGATGTTAAATCTACAGTTAACGTTTTTCATAACAGATATACCGCTGTACTTGAAGAAAATGCGTCCAATATATCTCATTTCATTTTTGGCTCTACTGTATCTAACGCTAAGTAAACAATTAAAGTTATGTGCAATATTGATTCTTGTCAGACAAACAGTATTACAGTTCTTGCATTCAAAAAGAACAAGGTTTCCTACACATTTTCCAAATTTTCAAAAAAAAAATAAATAAATAAATAAATAAAAAATAAAAGAAAGAAAGAAAGAAAAGAAATACTGGCTTATCATGCTTCGGTATTACAATTATTTAGATTGTCTATTAATGATAAGGATACGGACCTCCCACGTTTGTATTTGTATTTAGAGCCTCTTATTGCTTTCTCGTCTAGTTTTTCAAACAATAGTTTGCCAAAGCCTCTTACTTCTATTTCAGGGTTGTGATATTGTTTACAGAAGAAGTGGAACTAATGATATGTAGGCTTAATATAACGAAAACTCCAATCAGCTTTAGAACATTCTTCAACATCCTCTCCAAGAACATTTCTTCTAGAAGAACATTTGATTTTCCCACTTAGTACACACTATATCTCATGTAAAATTGGGAAAAGACCTTCATTCTCTTGATATGAAAGATTCTCTCTGTTCCAAGAAAGGTGGACTGTGGTACAAATATATTGTTGCGAATTATACTCACGGGCATTTCCAGAAATAATAGGTACAACTCAAAGGAGAAATATACCCTGAACGGAGGGCGAACTCGTAAAACGAATTCCAAACTGACGATGTCTTTGTCTAGTTTGGTGGCAAGATCTTTTAGCAGATTATCGGCATACATGTTGGAACAAACTGTGTTCGTCTCCTGGCAGACTTGTATTTGTTTTCGCACAAGGCTGAATTCCTGGAAGACCTTATCAAAACAGGCCATTAAGGCGTTATGAGGTCCTTCGATTTCATTTTGATATATTGATGACGTAATCACTTACCACTTATCTCCATCCTTATGCGACAATGATACCAACAGGAACAGCTTTCCATCAATGATGTATCTGACGGTTAATATCCCTATTGTGAATTTTCCTTTTCTGGATAGAAACATCCCTGTATCCCCAACCCAAATCCCAAAAAAGGTTTTTTCCCCAGTATCAAGATTTTCTTGCCGTATCTCGGCAACTGACAAGCAAGCAACTCAAGTTTTCGAGAGATGCAAAATAATTAATTTCATTATGGAAAAATCTTTGTGCGATGTGAAGCTGGGCGTGTTTGATGCACGTCAGTTTGCACTTTTTTCTTATTCTCAGTGAAGAATTTGACATCACTCACTTAAATTGACAAATATTTACATGGCTGTAGTCGTCGGTGAAGCAGAAGATGCTTTCTCTTCCGGAACACCCATACGTATTTAATTTGTAGTTCATTTATGACTAATGATATTAAGAGTATTGGACAAACAAATGCAATATTAATACAAGTTATTATATTAATATGTTTTCACACAAACCTTACGTAAGGATTTCCGGAAGGAATACGTATTCATGAATCAAACACCACAAAACAAATTTGCAAAGTTTA